AAAGCAGCTTGGTACTGGCACAATAACAGACCTCAGGACCAATGGAATAGAATTGAAAACCCAGAAATGAATCTACAGACCTATAGCCATCTAATCTTAGATAAGAGAGCTAAAAAAAAAAAAAAAATAGGATGGAAGGAAGAAAGCCTCTTCAGTAAATGGTGCTGGCAAAATTGTTTAATCACCTGTAGAAAACTAAAGCTACATCAACGCCAAATGGACCAACGACCTCGGAGTCAAAGCAAACACTCTGAAAACATTGCAGGACGGAATAGGAGAAATCCTAGGTCTCCTTGGCACAGGCCGAAATTTTCTTAATAGAGACCCAGAAACACAACAAATCAAAGAAAGATTGGACAAATGGGATTGCATCAAGTTGCAGAACTTCTGCATGGCAAAGGAGATAGCTAGCAAGATCAATATAAAGCCAACGGATTGGGGGAAGATCTTCACTAGCCATACAACACACAAGGGTCTCATATCTAAAATATACCTGGAACTCAAAAAATTAAATCCCCCTACAACAAATCCTCAAAGAAACTACTGCCCAATAAATAAGTGGGCTAAAGAGTTACAGAGAAACCTATCTGAAGGGGAAAGGATGGCCAATATACACATGAAGAAATGCTCAACCTCTCTAGCCATAAAAGAAATGCAAATCAAAATAACATTGAGATACCACCTCTCCCCAGTTAGAATGGCTATAATCAAGAACTCTAATAACAACAGATGCTGGAGGGGAAGTGGACAGAAGGGAACCTTACTGCACTGTTGGTGGGAGTGTAAACTTGTTCAACCACTTTGGAAAGTAGTATGGAGGTTCCTCAAAAGACTCCACGTAGAGCTCCCTTATGACCCAGCAATCCCGCTTTTGGGCATTTAACCAAATGATCACAAGCAGGACCAAACTAAATATACCAGCACATCTATGTTTCTTGCAGTATTATTTACCATAGCTAAGATATGGAACCAACCCAGATGCGCCTCAGTAGTTGAATGGATCAAGAAAATTGTGGTATATATACACAATGGAATTCTATGCCTCCATCAGAAAGAATGACATTGCCCCATTTGTTAGGAAATGGAAAGACTTGGAAAAAATTATATAAAGTTAAGTAAGCCAGGCCGAAAGAAATATAGGTCCCATGGTTTCCCTTATTTGCAATAACTAGTATATGTCTGTGACAAACAGAAACTGTCAGACAAGTTGATGTTAGGCGAAATGAACCCCAAGATAAGGATTCAAATGTTTTCTTTTTCTCTCTTGTGATTGTTTCTAACATATTTATGAGATGATTTCTTTGATGCTTTGCATGTATCTCCCCAGGGTATAAGCTCTGCTTTCACTGTATTTGATGTTGATATAATTTGTGGAGGGGAAGGGAAAAACAAACTGTTTAAATAGGGTTACAGGTGGACCCATTAAAACAATGAGATGTACAAGTCGTTATGTCGAAAAACGAACTTTACATCTTTGGGGGGGGTGGGGATAGCGGGAGGGGTGGTGGAGAGGGGAAGGGATGGGAAGAGGAAACAAAGGAGGAGGCAACAATGCTTGTTAAGAAGTGTACTCACTATTTTTCCCATGTAATTGTAATTCCTCTGTATGGTATTTTCACAATTAAAAAAAGGTTTACAATATAAAATAAATAAATAATAGTAGCACACATTCACACTATGGGTTTCTGCTGCCCATGTAAAGAGTAGTCTTGAACTCAAAGCACAGTGTTTGGCTCATACCTGTCAGGATTTCCTTGGAGGACAAATGCAAAGGACATGAGCCAGAATTCCACCAGGGCAGAGAAATGGCTACATAAAGTCGCTTATCTCAAATGATTTTACTAGAGTGGTTCCACAGCGTGTTTGAACACTCATGAGAAAGAATCTTCAAATGTGGGGTAAGTGAATTGACATTACTCAGTTTGGGGAGAAAAAGAGAGAAAGAAATGAATAGAGCCTGAGACCTTTGTGTCACTGTCAAACATGCAGTAGCAATTCTAGAAGAGGGGAGGAAGCAAGGTGAGGTAAAATAGAAGAAATAAAGAAACAGTGACCAAACTTGGTACAACATATGAATATACACGTCCATAAATCTCAATATGTACCAAGAAAACAAAGCCAAACAAATCTAGATTGTGTCATATTGTAAACTGTTGAAGATAGGAACAAAGTAAAATCTTGGAAGCAGTGAGAGAGAAACCACATGGAAGGGATTCTTTTTTCTTCTTCTTTCTTTTTTTTGTCAATCCTGGGACTTGAATTCTGGGCCTGGGCACTGTCTCTGGGCACTGTCTCCTTTTGCTCAAGGCTAGAGCTCTATCACTTGAGCCACAGCACCACTTCTGGTATTCTGATGGTGTATTGGAGATAAGAGTCTCATGGACTTTCCTGCCATGGCTGGCTTCACACCATGATCCTCAGATCTTATCATCCTGAGCAATACATGAGGATTACAGGTCTTACCCACCAGCTACAAAGGATTCTTTATTACCAACCATCATTCAATCATCAAAAATCATGGAAATCAGAATAGTGGAATGATTTTCTAAACTGCTAAAAAGAAAAGCAAAAAAACAAAAAACAAAACCATCACTGCCACCAAAAATAAAAATGTATTAAAAAAACACTCAGCCAGTGATTCTATACATTGGAACTAATTTTTTCACAAATAAAAGAGAAATTGAGACATTTGAAGACTTAAACAAGGCTTAGGATATTAATCATTGGAGATCTTCCCTACAAGAAATTCTATGAGGTTATAGGTGACATCAAATGAAGCTGAACACTAAGTTGGAGTCATAAAAAGTAGGAAAAACAGATCATTGTCACATAGATAATTAAAAATCTGGTATTTTACATTTATGACTTTATTTGTTTTATTATATCATTTAAAATGCCAACATATGAGGTATAGAAGTGAACAGAAAAGGAAAAAATGTATTTTCCACATGTACACAAACATATTCTTATTTAAGTAAAACAATTTACATAGTCCAATGGATTGAATTGAATTGTACCATATAGAGTAGCATTTACTTTGAAATAAATTGCCTTTGAATAGAACTTGCTCTTCAGTACTCTGTTATTTATCAGATACATCTATGAATTTATTACTGTGGATAATGTAGACCACTTGATACTTAACATCATTGGGATACAGCTGTGGTTTCCATAGCCATTCATCAAAAGGAGTTGCTTCTACTTTGACATCATCAGGCAGAAAGGTTCTGCAGGACAATTTGATGATAAATGACTTCAGTCATTTTGAGCACTTATATGCCTCTTGGGTTTGTCAAAACAGTAGATATATTAATTCATTCATTATTTTGTGTGTTTCCTACAAAGACAGTGCTTCAGCCTATGTTCTGTATTTAAGACTTTATGCTTCATCTTCAAACTTTTGTCAAGGCTCTTAATATGCTCTTTTTTTTCTGTTCTTTGGTTTTTGAAGCTACCAGGAAATAACTGTAATTTAATCAAGTACAACCAATCTTTAGAGAAAATGATTTCAATATTTTCTTTCTCCCCAATCTACTTCCTTTGCAGCATTCAGTGAGGAAAGAAAAGTTCTGAGGTTCTGATCAGCCCATCTTTGGAAGGGAGAAAAAAATAGAGAGAGTAAGATTTATAACTTTCTAAGGTTGACATCAACTCCTAGATTTTTATGGCTTTATTCAAGAAAGATGAAAGGATTAGAAAATTTAAACAAAATAATGGATATGTCTCCTTTTATTTAAAGTTTAGATATGGGGCCAATTATTTCTATTTAATCAATATAAGTGTGCTCATTTCCAAATGCTCTGTTGGAACTCTTATGTGCTGCCAGTAGGCATGACAATTAATACAGCTTCTATCAAAATCACTATAGCATTTCCTGAAAATATATACTGAAATAACTACAAAGCTTTCTGAATGGAGCTTCTTGAATATATATATATAGATATATATATCAGAAGATACTGCTTTAACACTCTCAGGTATATACCTAAAGGAATCAAAGTCAATATACAGTAGAGACACTAGCACAACTCATGCATAATGTGACACTGTTCACAATGGCTAAGCTGTGGAATCAGTTCAGCAAAGAACTAATAGATGAAGAAAATGTAGTATTTGAAGACAAAAATGAAACATATTCATGAAAGGATCATGTGTGGATCTAGAGATCATCATATTGAATGAAATAATCCAGATTCAGAAAGACAAATGTTTTCTCTAATATGTGTAAACTAGAGAAACGTAAGGCATTCTAAATAGAAGCTGAACTATTAGGAAGAAGGAGGTAAAGGGGAAGGAGGAAGGAATGTTGGAGTGATAATAACCAAAGTACATTATATCATGTATGAAAATCACAATAAACCCATTATTTTGCAAAACTAATATACACTGTAAAATGAAAATAAATATTTCCCAGGCTGTGAACAAGAAACATTCCATTAAGTAGATGTTGAACCAATCTGTGTTATAAAGTTTTCTTTTAAATTTCAGGAAATTTCATTGAAAATTAAAGATGAGGAATGACTTGAAGGTGCCTAGATTGATATGAAGAAGATCTCTACTATGTGAAATGCTGCTTGGTCCTGAAAACAACACCCAGATTTCCACAGTAAAAATATAATATTTTTAGTGCATGAAACAGGGTTTTGAGAATCACTGCTTTACTCCAAAAAAAAGTAATATAAAATGCACACATGAACATCACGTCCCCATATTTACTCTGAGCAAATTGCCAAAATCTCTAACTAGATATCTATTTTTACGTTTTAACATTTCATGTAAGAAGGGTTTGCATTTTGAGTATTTGTTTGAATATTTGATTTGCATTTTAAGTATTTGATCAGTAGCGACCACAAGAGGGCAGTGTGCATTCAGGGACCAAAAAGAAACCTTTCAAGTTCTCTTAAGTGAGAAAGGAAGGGAGGAGTTGGTTGGTGCAGGAGGCTTGGGGAAAAGATCCTCTTTTTCTACTTGAAGGACAGTTCCTGTTATGTTTTCTAAAGCACAATACTGAGATTTACTTTCTTGTGCAGTTTGTAATCTTCGCCCTCAGTGGGAAAGGATGAGATCGTTGAGTGTCTTATTAGTGATCCTGTGGCATCGCTTGAGCTGTGAGTTGGCATTTCTATGGGAACATGAACTTCAGTGATGGGAGTTGTTGTCTGTGTGTCTGTGTCAGGTATGTGAGGAAAAACCAGAAAGTTCTTAGTTTTTAGGCAAGGGAGGGTGGAAGGCCCATGGAAAAAAGTAATTTACATTCCATAAGAGAAAGCATCCACTTTGTATTGTATTGTTCCTTTATATGACATTTGTCTTTCTGCACAGGGGTAAACAGCCAACAGAAGGAGGTGGAGCAGCATCCTGAGTCCCTCAGTGTTCCAGAGGGAGCCACTGCCTCTCTCAACTGCACTTATAAGAATAGTGCTTATCAGTACTTCATGTGGTACAGACAGTATTCTGGGAAAGGCCCTAAGCTTCTGGCATCTACATATTCCAACGGTGATAAAGATGAAGGAAAATTCACAGTGCACCTCAACAAAGCCAGCCTCTATCTTTCCCTGCACATCAGAAACTCCCAGCTCAGTGACCCAGCAACCTATCTCTGTGCAATGAGTACACAATGCTCCCCCAACACCTGCAGCCTGCATCCAAACCTACAGGGGCCCCAGTAAGGCCTGAGCTGCAGTAGAACCCAGCGCACAGCAAATATGCTGGGATCTGGATGCGATGGGTGTGAAGAGCAATAGCAGGGAGGGTTTGAGTGAATATTTTTCCTCTAAGAGAATTTTAAAATATTAATTTTTAACTTATTGATATGGTTGAAATATTTTCCAGTTTTCTCTTAACATTCCAATTTAAAATTTTTCATTAAGGAATACCCAAAAGGTTCCATATAATGTCTAAATTTTTTTGAGAAATTTAAATATAATACCCAAACAACTGTCACATAAATAATGCTGCAAACATAAACATTGTCCCAGAAAGTGTCCTTCCTCTATCTTATTATTGAAGTATATTAATGTAGTCAGATCAATATTGATTAATATTAATGTTATTGTCTAATCTAGTTTTATATCACAGCTATCACATGCAGAATATCCCACTATATTATTCTGACATGTTAAATTAAATGATACAAAACATCTAGTCTTCTAATCTTGGCTCTTACCTTTATCAGAAGTAATTTGATGGAACAGAAGATGAACACAATACATAAATCCAATGAATAATTCAGTATAGGTTTGCTTTACTTTTTCCTTTCTTGCCAGGTTTCACATTCTTAGATTTTTCCGTCAAGGCTGGTGCTCTACCATTTGAGCCACACTTTTTTTTAAGAGTACAGGGGTTACAGTTACATGAATAAAGTAATGAGTATATTTCCTATCAAGCATTTTTGCCTCCTCCTTTGTTTTAACCCTACCATCCACTTATTCCCACCTCCCTAACTACTCGTGTCCCCTCCCCCTAACTGAAAAGGTAAAGTTCATTTTCAACAGAGTGTCTTGTTCATCTCATTGCTACAATGGGACATTGTGTATCCCTATTTAATCATTTTGTTTTTTCCCTCCCCAAATTAGAAAAGTATATATACAAGATGCAGGGTACCGGAATCAAATACAGTGAAAACAGGGGTTATACCATGGGGGAGGAACATACCAAAGAAACAAAAAAATCACATAGTACATTATAAGTATGTTAAAAATTATAGCAAGAAAGAAAAAAAACTATTGTGTCCCTGTCTCGGTGTTTATTTAGCTTAACATCATTTTATATGGTCCTATGTATATAGCTTTTGACCTTTTCTGTTTGTCCTAGACATACTACTTATTAGAAATAAGGGAAACCAAGGGAACTATGTTTCTTTGTGCTTGGCTTAATTCATTTATAGTTTTTTCCAAGTCTTTCCATTTCCTAATAAATGGGCAGTGTCATTATTTCTGATGGAAGCATACAATTCCACTGTATGTATGTATGTGTGTGTGTGTGTGTGTGTGTGTGTGTGTGTGTGTGTGTAATTTTCTTTATCCATTCATCTACTGAGGGGCATCTGGTTGGGTTGGTTCCAGATCTTAGCTATGGTAAATAATGCTGCAATAAACATAGTGGTTCTGGTAGTTTTAGTATACCCTTGTTTGTGATTGTTTGGGTAAATGCCCAAAAGTGGGATTGCTGGGTCATAAGGGAGCCCTGTGGAGTCTTTTGTGGAACCTCCACACTGCTTTCCAGAGTGGTTGAACAAGTTTACATTCCCACCAACAATTCAGTAGACTTCCTTTTTGGTCACTTCCCCTCCAGCATCTGTTGTTATTAAATTTTTTGATTTTAGCCATTCTGATTGGGGTGAGGTAGAATCTCAATGTTGTTTTGATTTGCATTTCTTTTACGGCTAGAGAAGTAGAGCATTTCTTCATGTGTGTATTGGCCATTCTTAATTCCTCTTCAGAGAAGTTTCTCTTTAAGTCTTTAGCCCACTTATTTTTTGGCAGTTGTTTCTTGGAAGATTTGTTGTTGGGGGATTTAGTTTTCTGAGTTCTAAGTATATTTTAGATATGAGACCCTTGTCCATTGTATGGTTAGTGAAGATCTTCTCCCAGTCCATGGGCTTTCTATTGATCTTGCTAGCTATGTCTTTTGCCATGCAGAATCTCTGCGGTTTCATCCAATCCCATTTGTCCAACCTTTTTTTGATTTGTTGTATTTCTGGGTCTCTATTAAGAAAATTTCGGCCTGTGCCAAGGAACCCTAGAGTTTCTCTTATTCCTTCCTATAATATTTTCAGGGTGTCTGCTTTGACTTTGAAGTCTTTGGTCCATTTGGACTTGATTCTGGTGCAGAGTGATATATGAGGATTTAGCTTTAGTTTTCTACAGGTGTTTAACCAATTTTGCCAGCACCATTTACTGAAGAGGCTGTCTTCCTTCCATTCTATTTGTTTAGCTCCCTTATTGAAGATTAGGTGGCTATATGTCTGTGTGTTCATTTCTGGGTCTTCAGTTCTATTTCATTGGTCCTCAGCTCTCCTCTTGTGCCAGTACCAAGCTGTTTGCATTACTATTTGAGCTATACTTTCAATTTTGGATTTATTGATAGTTATGAAAGCAAGAGTATCTTGGATTTGTCATCCCAAGATGGCTTCAAATCCTGATGTTCTGTTATCAGCCTTCTGAGTAGCTAGGATTGCAGGTGTGAGCTACCAGAACCTGGTTTGAGTATAGTTCTTAATAATATATGAAAAATCTAAAATTCATTAAGTTTTAACCTTTTTAAAAGTAAATTATTCCAGTGATTTCCTCATAAAATCCTTACAATTAATCTAAGATAAGATATCAGCCAAAATACAGGAGGAGGTAGGGAAAATTTCTTTGGGATTTCACTTTAAGTCACACTAATTCATGCATGACATGAGGTCACACCACATTTTTAGTCTTTCAAAACACAATAGCAAAGTAGTGAGAAAGTAGATCTTTGCTACAAAAATTCACAGAATCAAGCTTTACTTTCCTATTATCATATTCAAGACCAGGAAATAGTATAATTTCATCTGACAAGTTTACAAAATTCTATATGTACAATGCCTATGTGCATCAGATCATACAAAATAATATTTATCAAAATTAACCTAGGAAATGGAAATAAAGGGTTTTTTCTTTTTTGCTATTTTTGTTTTTCATTTTATCTTGTGTACTCATTCATTCATGTCTTTAGGAGGGGAACGAGGGCACAGAAATGGAAGGACAAATGGTGAACAAATGAAGAAAAACTGCATTTGTTAGTTTCAACTATATGTTGAAAATAAACTATATAATTTGTGGGTGGGGATGCAAAGAGAAAGTGGGAGAGCAAGAGAGGGGATATTTTCCAAAAAGAAATGTACTCTTTACCTGAGTTATGTAACTGTAAGCCCTCTTTACATCACCTTTATAATAACAATAAATTTCACATGTACAATTATATATTATACATCCATATTGTAGTGGGTATGTAATTCCAAATTGTTTGTGATTTGACTCACATGATAGGATAACAAAACCTGCTCCTTAAAAATAGCATCAAAAGGACTTCAGACAGAAAGGCTGTCCTTCTTTATTCATCATTTCCTACTTCATTGTGGAGATTTCAGAATAATCCCAGCTATGGGTTTATCTGGTACAAAAGGAAGGAGATGGAAATGAAGTTGCCAACCTATACCTGTTCTATTCTCTAAAAACCAGTCTCACTAAACATATTTTCATGTTCATGATGGTCAAGTTACAGGTTTACAGTAATCTCCTAATTTCATTTAATTGTGCTTAGAATTCTATAAAGTAGCCAGTGATATTCTTCCTTAGTAAAATCTTTCTTGTAAATAAATTGTTGTTTTGTAATTTGCATGTTCTGATTTTGTGACTAAAAAAGTTGGCTTTCTGATACTATTCATTGTCTCCAATGTATATCTGAATGATCTTTTCCCTTTCTTCCCTTCCCTCCTGAGGTGTCTGATCACATAGGCATCCCTGGAGGGAAGAGGGGGTGGGTGGGTGGCTAGATGTTCTGTCTGTGGTCAGCAACTGCAAAATCAGCAGAATACTGCAGTCAGTGGTTCTGAGAGATCCCAGCCAAAAACTTGAAGCCAATCTTTGTTCCCTGGAAGCTTTATACTCTTTAAGGACAGAGGGACTCAACCTATTTGTTATTTTTGTCTCAACTTGGTGGAGGCAAGAGAAGACATGTTCCTAAGAGAATTAGTTTCCTTTCTAGAGGTCAAGTGATCTCTTCAGCACAAGCACTCCATGAGTTGTATTTTCCTGTGTTTCATTCTAGGCTCCCAGCTTCTTCACACCAAACATATGTCTAACTCCAAAGCAGAGTAACAGAGTTAAGTCTGGCTAGTAGCCAAAGGTGCCCTTTGGCAAATGAAGATCAGAGACTTTTCCAATCTTCACTCTTTATGGAATGAATGTTTCTTTGTTTATGGCCCATTGCTTTTTATCTTGTAACCAAAATTCTGAGGAGCATATTCTGTATGAGAAGGTCAAAACCAGTGATGGCAAGTGGAAATTTTATGGACATGATATTGCTTTAAGACTCCATTAACTCTCCAATTAAGTGGCATAGATTGTCAACTTGGATCAAAAAGCAAGACCCTTCTATCTGCTGCCTTCAAGAAACACACCTTGCCTATAAAAACAAACATATTCTGAAAGTGAAAGGCTGCAATAAAATCTACCAAGCACATAGCACCCATAAACAGGCGGGACATGCAATCTTAATAGATAAAATAGTCTTCAAATTAGAATTTATGAGAAGAGATAAAGAATGTTAAGGCATTTCTCCCTGAGGAGGATGCAGCAATTCTAAATATCTATTCACCAAATAATGATGAGTAGTCTACAAACACTACTTTCCATAAAAATCTCACATACATTCAAAGACATTAATTTTGGGAGATTTTAACATACCACTATCCCCACTGAATAGGTCAACCCAGCAAAAACTCAACAGAGAAAACTCAGATCTAAACAACCACAGAGATCAGCAAGACTTAACAGACATCTACCGAATATTTCACCCAGCAGCATCAGAATACACATTCTTCTCAGCAGCACATGGAACATTCTCCAAAATAGACGGCATTTTAGGTCACAAAGCAAATTTGTCTAAATTCAGAAACATTGAAATTATGCCCTGCATT